TCCTGAGCAGAGTTTCCACTTCTGATAAAGTGTGAGACTTTGTCAAAAAACCCACCTTATCCTTTCCCTCAAAAAAACTCACTGCTTCTGCCTATAGATTTTATGATATCTGAGAAATGAAACATACGTAAAGTGAAGAAATATGGGAATACAATGTTCAAGCATTTATTTCAATATTATATAAATTCTAGGAATCTGGTCTGTTTTTATCTGCTTTCAAGAAAATAAGAGTTCTTCAATTTCAGTAACTGAAGAATCTAAAGCACATCTTTGTTCATTGTCTGAATCTGCAGTTCAACCTGAACCCAGAAGGCCTCTCTACTTTTTTTTTTTCCATGGAGTCTGTAGGTTGAGACCCAAAATCAAAGTGAGTTAAACATGCAGCTGGTGTCAGAGAATCAGGAGATTTGACATCCTGAGGAGTCCAAGAAAGTTTTGGATTATTTTCTTTCAGGCTTTTGTTTCAACTCATCAGCAAACCCATTTACAAGAGGAGAGTATAATCCAGGGTGTGGCTTGGCTGCAAAGCTGATGGGCCACGTTCGTTTTGCAATGTTTATGAAATAAATCAAAATAGAAGGTGAAAAAAATTGTAGACTAAGGATTTGAATAAAACATGGAGCTTGCTAAGGACCCAGATGGCACATTTTATTCCTCCCTTATCCCATTTTCTTTATAGTTATACTCATTTTCAAGGCAAAGGAGTGAAGTGGATGGTGCAGATAGGGTCTGGGAAGTCATTTGTGTTTGGTGAGTCACCACCATGCCAAAGCATTGAGCGCTTACACTTCATTTCTAGTTTCTTGAATTCTCCCTCTGCAGTCTTTCACCTCTGGGATTTTGCTAATAAGCCTCCTCCCCACCCTCATGGTGGCAATAACAAAGATGAATTTGTGCACCAGAGAAACCTCCAAAATTTGCCAAAATGAATGGAAACAAGAACTACTTTTAATGATAAGCCAATAAAGAAAATGTGAGAAAGTTATGGAATATTCCTCATTTGCAAAAAATTCTATAAAATTGCATTCTATAAAATATTGTTCTATCCATTATGAACCAGATAGTGTATAGTATCATGGTATGTATAAGGTATTATCATTATTACTATCATTATTTTTCCAGAGAAGAAAAAAAGAGAAAGCAGAAATGTAGGGGAAATGTTGTAAAGAGTTGAAAATAACCAGAGAGACTCAGAGAACAAGAAACAGAAGTATTAGTATAAAATCTTGACTCTGTTTCCCTTTCTGTTTTCTTCCTGCTCTGATTCTGTCCTCAGTACCTCTCTGAGGCCCAGGGTTCTGCCAGATTCCCTGGCTTCCTCCATTCCCACAAACAGGGGGCAGCAGGTTTTTTGGTTTTCCTTCTCTCCTTATGCCGCTTCTACTAGTCCATTTAACCCCGCCAGCCCTGCAAAGAACAGGAAGCAACTCCAATTATATCTGGCAATTGGGGGGATTAGGGCTCCCCCTTCTGTTTTGGGGGTGTAGGTACATGGGGCTCTGAATTCCCAGACAAAACTTAGCAAACAGAATTAGCCTGCAGGGACCTCCTTCTAGACTACAGCAAAAGCTAGAGTAGTGATTTTCAGACTTAAATATCCCTAAGAATCACCTGTTCAAATGCAGATTCCGACTCTAGAGGTCAAGGGTAAGGCCCATATTCCGCACTCTTATCAAGCTCCCACGTGATGCTGAGGCTGCTGGTCTTTGAGTCACGCTTGGAGCAGTCTTTATATCAAGAGCTCCGGGGGAATATCCACAGATTTACTTCATGATTACAGCCTTCACACTAGAAAAAGGCAGTCTATGTAGTCCTTAAATATATTTTTAAATTTTCATATGGGAAAGGCCTGTGTTTTCTTCAGAACTCAGGAAAAAAAAATATTGCATTAATTATGGATTTTACAGTGACACCATTGTTTATTCTTTGGAAAGAAACAACTACAGAGTACAGAGTTAAAAACAACACCACCAATAAGTGGGTTTTAGATTCTCAAAAGCCATAATCATCTCTCTATTATTAAACCCTGCCTCAAATTCAATCTGTTTTCTTTTTGATCATTATGTGAGTCATGATAAGATTGTTTTAATGACCTCCAATAGATATCTGGCCT